AAGGTGTTTACTGCTGAGAAAGAAGCAGAAAATTAAAAAACGATGATAACTTAAATCTCACTAGTTGGATCGTCAGAGCCGTGTAAGTCATAATCTTTCCCTTGCAAAATGGTTGCGTAGCTAAACACAGACCTAGTCAGTCTATCCGTTTTGTATTACACACGGGAAGAGAAGATTCTCAATTCTTACTTGACTGTTTACATAGCTTTTGCTGGAGAACTTCCATGGCCACGTAGCCTCTAAAACTTGCCCTTGATCATGCTGCTTGCCTTTTCATGTGCTTGTTTTAAAGTGTGTGGAAACAGAATGATCACATCTCTCTGCTGTTGAAACATTGGAATAAGAGTAACATTTGCCATAAAGCCTGATGAGATTGGGGTGTAAGTTGAGGAGATCATGCTGAAGTAAATACTTCTTTATTAGTATAGAATATGCATTTTTCTTGTGAATTTTTGTGTCCTTTAGTCCAAGTGTGTTTGGTAGATGTTAGAGTAGTTTTGAGGTACTATCAGTATTTTTCAGTTATAGATTTTCTCCTTTTCCATCCTCTTCTGAAATACTGTCTGTCCAAACCACCAGTCCTTACCATGTTCAGTAACTAAAATGCCAATGAAACAAAGGGATGCCTCTCACTTCCTTTTACTACAAAAAAGCATTGAAACAGCCAAGTTTGCTATTAGCTATAGTGACTGCTAGCATTCACAATACTGTAACATAAATTGGATTGACTTGAAATCTTGTGTGCCATAGGCTTTTTGTCAGATCACAGCATAACCAGTACAGATTGAGTACGAGCTTGTGAGAGAGGAAGCATTGGAGTGAATGAGCCTTAGGTATTTACAGTGCAGATTCTGGATAGAATTTAATGCGGCAAAAGTAATGGAGGTGGGTCTAGAGAAAATACTTTCCCAGTTCAGTGTATTCTCAGTGGACAGTTTTCAGTTGTGGAATCTTGCCTTGGCCTTTTATGTTTTCTGCCTTTGGGGCACACAAACAGCTCTTACTCTTTCACCAAATATTTGCTTGCCCTTATGTTACAAGATTAGGGGAGAGAGTTTCACACCAGTCTGTCAGATAATTGAGAAATATTGGGTAAGCATGGTTGGTCTGGTTTCCACTACAATAGTTGTTGCAGCAATAGATGTATGACACTTGACACTTACAAGTTGATTTTTTTTTTTTGTTCTGATTGACATTAAGTGTGTCTATGTTCTGAGGCGGTAAAACAGAAGTAGTAAATATAAAGGACAAAAATAATATTGTTCCTGAAACCAAAAATAAATCGGATCTTTGTTTAGTAGCTAAGTAAAACATTGTATTAACTACTTTTTCTTTTTAAGCAGCAGCAAGAGAAACAAGATTTCCTAAGGCTACTTGTGTTTTTGCTATTTCAAATAGCACATATATATTTAAACAGAGACCCTTGACTTATATCAGGATCTACTATATCTGACTTTCCTCTCTCCCTGTTTGTTGGGACATAGGTACTAGTATTTATGCTGTACAGAAAGAGTTAAGAGCTCTTGAAAACTCTCAGGCTTTGAGCTACTGTTGCGCTGATAGAGCACAGAAGTACTGCTGAAACCTGCTGGTGTTTGATTAAATTACCTCTGGAGTTTTCATTGCCCTTTGACGTACAAAATTGTGCAAGAGGAAAATATGTAGAAATCGGCCTGCGAGAAAGGAACAAAAATCGGACCTCACGTACTGTTTTTTTAATACCATGAGTAACTTGGATTAATATTGGCAGTTTGTTTTCATAAAAAACACTGACATGATGTAAAACCTGAATCATTTCCCTTAGTTTTAATTCTTTAAATCTTTCTAACCCAAAAAGAGTTGTAATTAGCCACAAGATTCTTCTAACTCTTACTGCTATTTAATCAGCCTTCTCATCTGTAGAAATGTTCTCTCATTCTTGTGTGTGACAGGTTTAAATCTGGAAAATCAAAATTTGGAGAGAGCCTGGTAGTATGCGTTTAAGCTTGCTGCATCTTCCTGGCAATGTGATATTTCTCAGTCTTTCTGTAATTTCTTTTTGAAATCCTAGGCTCTTTCAGTTCTAGTACTAGAACAAATTCAGGACATCTAGATACTGACTGAATTCCTTTCCAAAAACTGACTGTAACTAATAACCAATGTACTTATTCAGGTCAACTCAGTTTTTTTTCACTATTTAGAATCAACTTTCTACTTACAAATTATGAATGCTTACTGTGGTTTCCAAAATGTTTAGACCTGCTGGAATGCTAGAGAAATTCCAGAAATAGTTGTTACTTATTCATACTGGATTCTTTTGGAAGATTTCAGAATTTCCTGAAAGGAGTCAACCCTGAGTACTTACGCTAAAGCCAGAATTGTCTCCATTTGAAGTTGGCAAGAGCTCCATTGCAGGGCAACCAGGATTTCCTCCGCTGGTGTTTTTAAACTAAACAACTTGTGGCTTTGCAGATTCCAGGTTTTCTTCACAAACTAGAATACTACCCTTCTCCTCTCTAATGTCATCTTTCTTACTAGAAGACTTCCCTAACACAATGAAAAAACATTTCAAAAGTTGCAATTAATGTTTGAAGTAGATAGAAAAAGAAGTGTGTTTTCTTCTAATCATGCTATTACGTAGTAAATTGGACCCCGGGCAAGCTTTTTAACACAAGAGGAAGGACAATAAACACTGTTATTCATATACGTTCAATATTAAACCCTTACAGTGTTTTGGCCTTGGGCTAATTAAAGCCTTTTCTAGCAAAGATAATAATTTGCTGCCTTATTAAAATTAAACTGCATAGGATAAAATTTCTAGCTACAGGTACTTCTTTAGGGGTTGAGTTTCACTTAGAAATTCTAGTAGTGTGTGCAAATGCTGGATAAGTTGATCCTGTTCTGTTTGAGTAGTTAAATGGAGAGAAGATTACGGCATTTCCTCTGCTGTGAATAGTTGCTTCCAGAGGCATAAACCCTCTCCCCATTCCCCACGCATACTTTTGTTTTTACTTAGTCCCATAAGCTTTTGTGACTATTTAAAAGCTATTTTTCTATATTAAAAAAAGAATAGCTGCCAGTTGTTTCTTAGATTTTCAGTTAAATTCATGAAAAACTACAAAGGGAGGAGTGTCTTCTGTTCTAGAATCTGTGTTCGGATTTCAGACTTTCTTCCGTGGCCCTGGCTGCAGGACAAGAATAGTGTGTTGGATATTATCTGTCTTTGAAGCTTTTAATTGAGGATATCAAAGTCAGATTATACTCAAACAACAGCTCTTCCATGTGTGGCAGTCCATAAAATACAGTATCAGTGCTTGTATGAGCATTCGCATCAGTTATTTGTTTTCTACAGTAAGCTCAGACTAGAGAATTTTTGTAAACACCCAGCATATAATAGTAATAAGGAAAACGTTACCTCATGAGTGAGGTTTCTAACATGAACACTGTAACATATCATTGGCAATGATAAATGAACTCTAGTCTGGAGAGTTACCATTTCAGAACTGCTAGAAGCTTATTCACCTGAGGAAAATCCTTCGGAGATGCTGAAACGCACAGCTATCTAGGAGAGAAACTACATCTATTTTTGTTGGGTTTGGATTTTTTCTTAGACTGTAGTCACGCCTGACACACATTGATTGCTGTTGCTGGGAACTTGTGTTTCCTACATCAAGAACTGGAAGCTCTGCTGTTTCCAAAATAGATAGATAAGCGTCTAAATAGGTTGGTTGCATCGCACAATTAAGAGAAATAATGAACTTTTAAAATCAATATAAAATATTACATATTCTAAATATTCTAGTATTACATAATGGTTTTATTTTGATACAGTGAAATTTTTCATGAGTGCTACATTTTCTTTCATTTGTGAGGAAAGAGAAAGTTTACTGAACATAACAGTTATATTTTAGTAATGCATAGTTGGCTTGCCTTGAAGGTGTCCTTGGTGGTGCATCAATGTGAATGTTGCATCTTATACTTTCTCTTAAAGTCCAATTAAACTTAAATAAGAGATTGAAGGCATAAGGTGTAATTCGAATAGCTAAATTTGGCTTCTAACCAAATGGAATTGGTATGGAGGTACTTCTGCAAGTTCAGTATGTCAGTTTGTTTTGCATTCTATTTAAAATACGGTAAAAATTTATTTGGCACAAGTTTGGGATCATCCCGTTACGGATCAAAATCTTATACAGCCACATGCAAATGCAGTAACACTAAAAACATTATTGTTGCACCTCTTATTTCATATTTCAAGAGAAAAAGGTTGTGGGAGAATTTTGTAAGGGATGTTTAACACAGGTTCAGTCCGTAAAAAATGGTACCTTGACAGAAATTTTAGACTTACGGGGAGGGCTAATAAAATATAACTAGGTTAAACATCAGTTAAAAGCTTTCTGTATATAAAACCAAGTAGTCCAAGAGAACAATTATGCAGTAGACTTTTTGAAGCCATATCTGTGTAGTTACATATAGGCATCTTTTTTTTTCACTTGTCATGGGACCTACATAACCATGCTTTTGTTCTGTAAACTGTCCTCTTACCTCAGTACCCAAACTCTACTTCATGTTCCTTACGACTTTTTTGGGTACTGAGTTAATGTTTCTGCTGTTACTCATCCATCACAAATGATAAAGGTCTTGTTGCTTCTGCCCTGAGACAGAAAAATGGACCATATAGAATCTGAAAGTCTCTTTCTTGCCTTTTTTTTTTTAAATTAAATTAAGCTTCTGTTCATAGCTTTATTCAGAACATGCTTAAACGGGGGGGGGAGGGGTCCCTTAAAAACTAAACTCCTTTTGGGTACCTTCGTCTTTATCTGTATGCTGTAGTTTGCAAGCTTAGTCTTTTCCAATAATTTCATTGCTCTCCTCTTGTATGGGTAGCGTGTGCCACCTTTGTCGAAATTCATGGGCTATTCTTCTTCAGGAGGATTAGGATAGAAATTCTAAAGATTCTTTCTTTCTGCAAGGCACAAAAATTCCCAACCTCTAATAGTTTCTGTTTTTCTGTTTTAATACAGATCTAATTATCACTGAAAACCCACTCATTGCTGTCAGATACCTTGTAAGTATACCTATGAGTGTGTATATATGCATGTGTGTGTGTGTGTGTGTGTGTCAGTTTTTTATATGAATATGTTCAAAGGAAAAGGCCAAGTCTGTCTTTTTGGGACAGTAAGTTTTTCTAACTGATGTCTTTTAAGAATTACAGCTGATTTTTGTCAAGATAGAAACAGTTTAAATTACCACAAATGTGTACAAATTAAGTTATCTGTTTTTATAAACACTTTTTAAAGTATTTCAAATGAATCTGAAATTTCAAAGTGAAAGAAATGCAACCTTTAACTTTTGCTAATGTGAACATTAGCTTAACCGGCTGCAAGTGTATGAAGTGTGTTTGTACATGCACTTAAAATTCAAATGTTAAAAGTGATTTCAACAGCGTGCCAGTTTTAGGAAAACATTCTTTCCCATTAAGACCTTTTAATCTTACTTTATTATTTCAGGCAGTACTTTGAAACATTCTGATGAGGTTTTTTAGCATGTTAGAAAGTTGTTCCAGTAAACTGTAAAAGTTCTTAAGTTAGTGTTCAATACTGAGTTGAGTTTGTTGCTTAGTCAGCTTGAAGATCATCTCACATATAAACCCACACATTTCATGCATGTAGAAAGGATTATTAGATGACATCAGTAGGATGTAATTTTTCAAACACAGTCCTCTTCACGCACAGTCCTACAATCCATTCTGCAACCTAGTTCAGTTTTAAAGACTTAGTATTGATAATCAGTAATAAAATGTGAACCGGATATTGTGAAATATCTGTTTGAATCATGACAGTACTGTTGCAAGTCATCATGTTATTTGCATCTCATCAGTGCTTAGATGACAAGAGGAGCAGGTCCCCACCATTTTAGACATGGTAAGAAAAGGGACAGCTCTTACGCCAGAGACTTCAGTTCAATTCACTATTGCCCATATGCAATAAGAGGGAGTGGAAAATAGCAGTGGAAAGATGAGATAATTGCAATAAGTATATATTAATAGATACCATTAGTCAATATAGATTTCATTAGAAAGTAGTAAGCAAATCAATGTGTGGAAGTATGATCTTCAGTTCTTTGTATCTGCTGTAATAATAACATGTACACAGAAAATACTCTGAAAATTTTGTGGTTGTTCAGTGTTATACAAGAACTAAATAGGTGAAATACAAAATTAATGTACAGGAGATTAAATTGAATGGAAAAGTTAATGTCTTTTTATAGTAGTGGTCAGTCCAGAACATTGGCTAAAGAATTTAAGTAAATATGAGCCCATTCCTCTCCTCCCTTTCTAAATTAGTCAGTTCTCAATTATTAGCGAGTAGTTTTTTTACCAGTAGGACTACTTCTGAAAAAGCTACTACTCAGCCTGAATAAAAGCTATAGTACTGTCTCAGTATATGAACTTGTTTGCGTTAGTCCAACAAGTCTGCTTTTTATCCAAGTCATTGTGTCTGGTCATATGCTTTTTGTTGGAAGGTGAAGAGCAGTGGGAGTTCTCCATGGGGTTTATTTTAACATCTAGCATTGTGTCTAATCTTGGGCATGCCCTGAAGTTTTCTTACTGTAGTCTTAGCACTATGGCTGGCTTTTGTTTTAAATACAAGCTCAACTGCTGCTTTTGGAGCACTGAATTAACTGGAATGAAAATATCATACAAGATTTGTACTATAAACCAGTAAACCTTCATTTTAGAGAACTGGAGCTTAGGAAAGTAAAATGATATCTCTTCTGCTGAAGTTTGACTGTTTCCTGAGCAGTTGATGATGATGAGGTTAACTACAGCAGAATAAGCATATATGTTTTGAAAAGAATGTAGCATCCATTTTTTATAAAAAGAAATATGCAGAATACTCTTTTTTCTGAACAAGTCTGAGCTTATTTTAGTACATTATACTATCATTCAATAGTAATTTTATTCTCTAGATCTAATTAAAAAAACTAACATGGTGATCATGTTATTTTAAGCACCTGCAGATCTCTTAATCTTACATTACATTAAATGCTGTTGATATCAGCTACAACACAACTGCAGATGTTGGAATTCTTATTAAAAAACCCATTGATAGATTGCTGTTACACTGTTAGTAGCAGTCATCTGACTGCTACTACCCTGACATGTTAATTGTAGCCTCCCTCATCACCTGAGGGTGGCAAATACGTTAACGAAGGTACATTTTGAGGTGTGTCCACGTTCTTTTAATTCTTGATGGAGCCCTGGAAGTTCTCCTATTCTCATCTGTTCTGTTTGTTGGATTCTGTCCATGAAAGACTGGGCTTTGCAATAACCTAGTCAGCGTTACTCACTCCCCTGAGTGTCTGAGGTACTGCTCTTCTGTTAGTGTACCTTTGCCTCTTATTTTTCCTCCTTAACGAGGAGAGATTTCTGACATGGAGACAAAATCTTGCCAAATTTTGCTTTATTTTAAATTGGGTTAAATTGGTCAAATTGGATTCCATTTTCTGTACCTGGAGTTCTGAAATGCATATATTGAAGTATTTTTTGGAGGGGGAAAAGCAAATCTGTGTAATGCCTTTCCAGGAGCCTGTCACTCATAGTTGAAAAGTAAAAAATAAAAAATTCCGTTGCTGGGGCAAAGTTAATAAAGCAGTTTTGGAATATTACATAGTTTTTAGATGACTACCTGTAGACTTTTCAGGACCTTATATCAAGATACATTTTAATCTCAATATAAATTGATATAATCTGAAAAGCAGTAAAGAGATCTACTGTATCTTTTCTCCGTAGTACAAATATTTAGGGGGAAAACAACTGTTGACCTTTCCCATAATTACGCAATTGTAGCATTACTCAAGTAGCTTAAACACAATATTATGATGTGAAGGACAGACTTCATCTCAACAGCCCTGAACTATTCAAACAGAGATAAGGGGGAAAAGTCTTTGAAAAGTAAATATTTGTGGATGCAACAAACAAGTATGGAAAAGATTCATCCTCTTTTGCCTTCAGAGCAGTACACTGCTATCTCATGCAGTGTACATGCCTCTGAAATCAGTTACTTCAGTCTCCTTTGTCTTGAAGCATTTGAAGTGAACTCTTAGAAGGACTAAAACTAATGGACTGACTGTAATATTACTAATTTAATTCTTTTTTTCTTTTTTTTTCCTGCTCTCTGCTTGGCTCTGGTCTTCACCCACAGGTGTCCACTGTTGGCTCTCAAAGGTTACTAAAATTTTAGCAGCTACTCAGAAACAGAACTACCTAAGCTTCACTTACTGTTGCTTCTTCCTACACCATACTACACTGCTGCTTTGCTCTTGCCTTCTTCAGAACACAATAAGAGATTTTCTTTTTTAAATACCTGCAATGAAACTTAGGCTAGAAGTATGTGCCATTCTCTTGCTGCCTGTGTACTTGTTAATATCTGTGTACAGTATGCTTGTATTTATTCCATGGTATTTTCTTACCAATGCTAAGAAGAAAAAGGCTATGGCAAAACGTTTAAAAGCTAAACCCATCTCGGACAAACCTGGAAGCCCCTACCGTTCTGTCACTCATCTTGACTCACTAGCAAACATAAACATTCCTGGAGCAGACACATTGGACAAGCTGTTTGACCATGCTTTAGCAAAATTTGGGAAGAAGGACTGTCTTGGGACCAGAGAAATACTGAGTGAAGAAAATGAAATGCAACCAAATGGAAAAGTGTTCAAAAAGGTAAAACTTACAATTTTGTACTTAATTCTGATTTGGTTTTGAGCTGCTTTGCATCTAGCCTCAACAATGGAGGTCTCCTTAGAGGTCTTCCTTAATTGTTATCTTATGATATAAACCATCCATTTTATAGTAGGTAAAGTATAACAGAATACAGGATGCACTATTTATTCTACTTCAACAAAAATGAAAGCAATTTTTTTTTTCTTAATGAATGGCAGTGTGTGCGGTTAACGCTGTTATGCACCAGCTCACGTAAGCTTGTAGAGCTGTATCAGCAGCTTCTTGTCATCACAGGTTTATTTTTCTTCACCAGTTAATTTTAGGAACTTACAGATGGTTATCCTATGAAGAAGTAAATGAGAAGATGAATCGCTTGGGGAGTGGACTGACTGCCCTGGGACTGACCCCAAAGAGTACTGTTGTCATATTCTGTGAGACCCGAGCAGAATGGATGATTGTAGCCCTAACCTGCTTCAAGTACAACTTTCCTCGTGAGTGCTGAACTTGTTTACTTCTAATGTATTTTAGAACCATTTCTCAGCACTGGTTTGGCTGTTAAGAATCTGCCAATCCCGTCATGGATGGTGTAAGAATTTTATAAACTTACTCTGCCTATGGTCTGATTCTTAGAAGTTTCCAGTCTATTCTATGCATTGCAGAGATCCCTAAAATTAAATTGCTCATATTTATGAGACTGTTTTTTCTGATTTTATTGTAGTAATGTTCTAGATGTTAGAATGACAGAACAGTACGGTTACTATTCAGTTTTTTTTAAAATACTCTGAAGATGTCAGTAGTTACATTTCTCCCCCCAAAATGTGGAATGTTTTTATAGTATTTTCTGTCTGTATTCTGACTTATGCATCCAAAACATAAAATAGTTATTAGAAGAGAGAAGAATGGTAATCAAAATCATATGCTAGTCTGAGGGGGGTTTAGTGACATTTTTAAGCTGCTCAAGTTCATTACAATTATGTATATGGGTTTTTTCTTTTTTAAATTTTATTTAAGCTGTCAAAAATCTCTCATCTGACTTAATGCATACAAACTTCTTGGTGAAGTGGCAAAGGTTACCATGCACTCATAGGCCCAGTCTGCATACAACACACTATGACCCATAGCTTATTTTTGTTGCCACCTTATGTTTTTGCTTGCACTAGGCTGCCTATTTTTCTTCCAGTATTAGTAGTAGCTAACTGCGTGAGAAGGTCATACAGTAGAGTATGCAGAGAGGCTGTTAAAGGGCAATAATAGAAGAGCTGACATTGCTATTGAAATAGGAGAGGATGGTTAATTGGGTCTTGATTCTCATGCTTTGAGAGGCAGAAAGAATCAGCTATACAACATTACTCTCTTTTTGTCCCTTCCACATGAACCCTATTTCACAAGAATATTAAATTCCCTTAATGGTCTTTGGAGGTTAGAGCTTGAGATAGCAGACAATACAAAAGAAAGGTATTTTTTTCAATAGAGAGATGATGGGAAGAGGTGAACTCCTTGGTGCCTGCGAGGCACTCAGTGGCATCACTGTACCCAGTCAGGGTTAAAAATAATCTGGCAACACAAAAACCAGTCTGATTCTCTGCCTTGCCCCCCAGCTGTAATTTCACAGGAGCAAGCAAAGGAGCTGACACTGCTGAAAGAGCTGCTTGTAGAAGTGCTGTGACTGGTGCCCTGTGATGTTTAGAACATCACCTCTCCCCCTGAGTTCTGGTTGCAGAGAGCTCTGGAGCAGAACACGTGTTCTCAGTTGCTTACTCTGTGATTGCTTAGTGCAGTATTGTTGGGGTTTGATGATTTCTCTTCTTCTATAGAATAGACTATTTCAGTTGGAAGAGACCTACGATGATCATCTAGTCCAACTGCTTGACCAATGCAGGGCTGACCAAAAGTTAAAGCATGTTATTAAGGGCAATACCCAAATGCCTCTTAAACACTGACAGGTTTGGGGCATTGACCACCTCTCTAGGAAGCCTGTTCAGTGTTTACCAAGAGGGTGGTCAAAGAAATGCTTCCTGTACAACTGTCCTCCTCATTCCAGAGATCTCTTGTGGCATAAAATTCTGATGCGGAAAAATTAAAAGCTGTTCTGTTTCCAAATTAGAAAATTCCTCACTGAGTTAATTTTACACACGCCCCCCCAATGCCTTCCAGTGAGCTAAAGCAACAGTTTTTGCATTTAGTATTACTTTAACATTTCTTTCATGTTCTCTCTCTCCTTACTGTAACAGTCGTTACGTTGTATGCCACCCTGGGTGAAGAGGCAGTTACCTATGGTCTCAATGAGTGTGGAGCATCATATCTGGTCACTAGTGTAGAACTTCTTGAGAGCAAACTTAAGGTAATTTGGTACCAGCTTCACCTGCTACAAGCAACCCTATAATAATTTTACAGTGCTATCAGTACTAAAAATTTCATTTCTCTTTTATAGACGGCATTGCCCCAAGTCTCCTGTCTTAAACATATCATTTATGTGGACAAGAAGACTATCAATAAATCGGAATACCCTGAAAATGTGGAAATTCATAGTATGCAGACAGTAGAAGAGCTGGGAGCCAAACCAGAAAACGGTAAGTGAATCACTTCACAGAGAACTAATGAAGCAATGTTAACAGTGAAAGCAGACCTAGGTTAAGAGGGATGCGTAGCAGAAAAAATCCCCATCCGTGCAGGTCTCTAACACAAAGAGAGCAGCAGATTACCAGTTCATCCTCTGGCTTTCCTTAAATAAACGGAAGAATTGTTTTATCTCTATTTATCGTCCTGCACCTTTGTTCAAGTGTCAGATATTTTAGGATAAAACTTTATTTTTAACTTCTAAACCATAATCAGAATAATTTAAGACTCCACCTTTGTTTTAGGAAGTGAAATAGAATCCGGTGCAGTGTTCCATTTTCTGCTACTCTTACCTTTTATTCATCTTATTTTCACTATTTTTCCTAAGAAAAGAGGAGAAAGCACCTGAGGCTTTTTTTTGCTTGTTGGCTTGGAAATGTCTTTTTTCTTAACCAACCTATAGCTAAAAAGCACCTTGGGCTAGAGGAATAACCATTACATCCCTTGCTACATTTGGCAGCCAGGAGTGACTGTAAACATCTGCTTTAAGGAAGGAAAAACCAACCTTGATCATCTCTTTTCCTTAAATCAGCAGTCTGTGCTTAGCCCGATCTCTCTCTTCAGTGAAAGAGGAGATAAACTGGCAAAGGAGCTTTTTGCAGGGAAGCACACATTCATTACAACTGCTTATCTTTGATCAGCTTAAGGTATGGATACAAACCGGCAGTTACCTTGAGGGGTGGTGTTTTGTGGTTTGGTGGTTTGTTTTTCCCGCCCACCCCCCCTGAAAACTCTGCTTCCCTTGCAGGCACTTCTGCCTCTCTAGCTGTGAAAGCCATGAAAGCTAATAACTTTCATCCTAAGAATGAATGCCAAGGGATTAAAACAAAAATCAAAAGTCAAGTGTTGTAAGCTTACTGCTTTTCCACTAACTAGCAGCTTACCTGAGGAAGGTTCACTTAAAAAAAAAAAAAAAAAAAAAGTAGTCTTAGCTCTCAACCTTGGCTTTGGAAGAGTGACTGACAGAAAAGCCGACTTGCAGCATTTTGGGGTGTTGGGTTTTTTTGGTTTTTTTCCTCAACCATTTTCTCTCCAGTACTGTATTTCTCCCCTTCACTGCTCTTGACAGGTTTACTACGTCTTCAGAAGGCTTTTTCTATGAAACTTTCGGTCAGCTATAAGACATAATAGCAAAAGTATCACCCAGATTGTGTAGATGCCCAAATACTTGTCACTCCTTCCAAAATCTGCATTCCCTCCCTTCCTCTTAAAAACAGACCACTAGTCTCTTCATCTGCATCCACCACCAACCACTTAGCTTACCACAACATTGTGCTTACCTCTGCTGATGCACCTGTTTCACATTGGTTGATTACAGACACTTTCACATTGATTAATTACAGAAATAACAATTTAGAAAGTAAATAAGAATCAATAACAGTTTTTCTCTCCTGCATTTTGTAGCAAGCATTCTGCCAAGCAGACCTGTTCCTACAGACTTGGCTTTAGTAATGTACACCAGTGGCTCCACTGGGAGACCTAAAGGAGTGATGATGATGCATAAAAACTTAATAGCTGGAATGACAGGACAGTGCGAGAGAATACCTGGACTGGGGTAAGAAACACTTAGTTGTCATGTGTATGGAGAGATAAAACAGAACCTCCAAAAATATGCAAGTTTATAAAAGTCTGTTGCTAGCATCGGGTGTTACCAAATTTCTTAACTTTATTTTAAGCCTACTAATCTTTAATTTATAAGAAATATATCTTGTGTTTGTGAACTTACCCTGTTGTTTGAAAAGGACACCCTTCTAGCTCTTGTCTCACATGCTGTTTCTACCTTTTTTTTTAATTACCCTTAGCTTTAGGTCTGTGATGGATTTTTGCACTCTTATGCATCAGAAGATGCCATCAAATAAGGAGATTCCTCATCTAATCAAACTTGGGAAATTTTTTTTTAGAGCTTTCAGGCAGCTAGGATCACTTTAGGAAGTCTGTCAGAGCCTACCACGTCCATTGATCTAGAGACAGCTCTGTTGGATAGATAATGCACATGCTGCAGAATCTGCTCAAGTGCACTTCACCAAAATGAGCAGGAGAGTAATAAATTGCGCATTGACGATAGTAAAACCAACTGCAGACTCCTTCACGCTAATATTTTGAGGAAATTCTTCATGAATGCGGGTGTGTTTGTCACTGCATTCACAAAGGGTTTAATAGCTGAAATAAGCTGTGTTGCTAAACTACTTTTGTGATGGGATATAAAACCAGTTCTGACTTGATGCTAAAAGCTTCTATTAAGTGACAGCTCTAAGTTTCTTGCTGAGAAATCACTGAGAAATTATTTCCTGAAATAAGCCTCAGTACTTCAGTGATCAGCTCTCTTTCTACTAATATATCTTAGAAGGAGACGCTATGATGACTGTCAAGGATTTGTAAATCATTGGTGATTATTATAAAATATAGCAATTTCATCCTTAGTTTCATACCTGGGATGAAATCTCCCACAAGGAGAGGAAGTAGCAGTGGAGCACTAAGGAATCTTTAAGTTTCCTAGAAAACAAGGCAAATCCCATAATTCATACTGATTTCAGTAAGGTAGGATTTTCCCCATTTTGTTTATAAACTGTGGTTTGAAATCACACCCTTCTTGCGTGCAGAAGAATAAGCCTCACTTGTGATCCAAGTCTTTCACAAAGTAATAACTAAGCACACAATAAAACTGTTAAACAGTATTTTCAGTCTACCCGTGCATCATTGTTAATTAGATAATCCTTTCCTTTTCTAGACCCAAGGATACTTACATCGGTTATTTGCCTCTGGCCCACGTATTAGAATTGACAGCAGAAATTTCTTGCATCACTTATGGCTGCAGGATTGGCTATTCCTCTCCACTCACGCTATCCGATCAGGTGAGGGGCATCGGGGGGGGGGAGCAAAAGCAAATTTTAGCTTTTGCAGTCTGCGTTCTCCTTGCTTGCTATCCTACTTCATTAAAGAAATGCCGATGTATATGGCACACGTCAGAAATGTAATTTTTAATAAAATTATGCAAATTAATGTTCCTGGTGAACTATAGCAGGGGGTCATACCATATAAGTTTTATTAAAACCTTTACTTTTATGATACTTAGGAAATGTAAAAGAAAACCTAATAAATGCATATAGCATTATCCACTGGATATCAGGATAAGAACAGCTATTAAGAAATTAGCTGAACATAAGACTGTTTAAAGTGATTTAAAATTTTTGGTCTCACTTTATCAGTTCTTTATCCAGTTATTGTAGATCTTCTATTTAGCCCTTTGCCTTTTTCCATTTAACAATTAAGTAAGAGCAAATTAAGCTGGAAAAAAAGGCTGCTCTATGTTTTGCTGGTATAGAGACTACATCAGGCAAAAAAAAAAACTCCTGGAGGAAGATGGAGAAGAAAGCAAGTACTAGGGGGAGGAGGTAAGAGAAAGATCTACAAAGTGGACTTAACTAGATTGGGCTTGTAAAACATCTAGTATTTTTGTTGAAATTGTTGTTAATCATCACTTTCCATCACAATGTGTGGGGGGGGAAATATGCAGGAAATGTTTTTTGGAGGGACAGGGGAAGAGATTTAAACAAATTACATGCTAATATATCTCCCTCTTTTTTTAGTCCTTTTCTAAAGAGCTGCTTGCTTTTCAGCTCCATAGATTGACATTTTTTCCTTATTACAGTCCAGTAAAATTAAGAAGGGAAGCAAAGGAGACTGTACTGTACTTAAGCCTACGTTGATGGCAGCCGTGCCTGTAAGTATACGGAAGCAGATATGTTTAGCAAAAACCTGATGCTTCTATCATGTTCATGCTAGAAAAATCTATTTGCTAACATTTTTTCTCTTCATATGTACGTAACTGTCACTAAAAGGAAAAAAGCAGAATACAGAAATTCCAGTTGTCGTTGCTTGAACCGAGTACTGATGCTGCAGATAAGCACAAGAATATATGTGTGCTAAAGCCAAGAGCCTTTTTGATCCAAAACTGTAAATGTGTTTTAATAGTCACAAGTGACATTTACTGAGCTACTGATACAACAATAGGATACAAAAAGTCTTTGACCTTCACAGTCCGAAACTCCTTTTTGCATAGGGAGAAAGCAGGGTGGCTTTGGCCAAGACAGACGCTTTCAGGATATGGGCGTTTGGCTGAGTGACAGAACTTAGCAAGTTAAACTGCGCTGCCATAGTTGTTGGGATGCTTAATCTCAGCTGCTTGCCTCCAAGGTAACACTTAGACTTAAGTCTCTCTTGCTGTTCTTAGGGTAAGCAGGCCATGCTTAGTCTCCTCTTACAAGAAAAAATGATCAGGAAACTATAACTCCCATTGCTTCTGTAGCTTATGGTGGTCTTTGGGTGACCAGGCTTCTGCATTCCACAAGGTCTTAGTGCTATCTGAAAAATACACAAGTGTTTGCATCTTTCTAATGCAAAAACCTTCCTCATATGTCCTGGAATCACATGTGCTTCTGTTATGATCATATCATGTCTGTTGCTCATAACACTGGTAGCACCAGCTTTTGCCACATGGTGGTGATGGGTGAGTAGGAGGATTTAATCTCATTTAAGAATAGTGAGCTTTGGTTGGATTTGGTTGTTCTGCAGCATCTTTTGGGAATAGCCAAGAGTTTCTATATTAATTACTCACTTGCATTTTTTATTTTATAAAGTAATAATCATATATATAGGCTTGGTCTTTTTCTTAATAATTAACCAAGTGAAAATTAATATGGCTGAAAACCCCAGCTTTTTGTAAAACATCCATTTAAATTTATTTATTGGGGAGAATTCAAATGCTAGACTACCAGCAAAACCAGTGTAAATTTTAAATACGGCCATAATCCCTCTTGGAAGGAGTATATTTCATGCATGTGCAAAAAAAAGTCCATGCAGACAGCTCCACATGAATTAACTGCAGAACAGTGATCATGTTGAACCCCACCTAAATGTCTTGAGTCTACAGACTTAATATCACAAAGAAGTTAGCAAAGAAAAAATAAAATTGAAACTGATGATCCATTTTCAGTTGATAGCATACAGGATCTAGAGTTCAACAACCTACAGCAAAGAGGAAAAAACACATCAGAAAGCCCTAGTAGGAACAACACTTAGTAACATAATCTAATAAATATTTCTTTCCCTAGAACTATGTCATGTTTTTATCATCAAAACATAACATCACCAGTGATTAGAAAGTAAAATAGGAATGAAATGGAAAATAATTCTAACAGAATCCAGACACACAAATATTTCTAAAGATTTGATTCAATCAGAACATTATTGTAAGGGTTAATAGTTCCTTCCAGCCTTTGTAATTCTGAATATCTTGTCACGCCTCTGTAGTCTTTAAAAGACTAAAAAAACCTGCAATTAATTCTGCTTTAAGATATTTGTCTGGCTTCTGGAAATACTACATGATATTCTGCAGGTAAACTGGGCTGAAAATAGTGTACAGTTTTTCTGAAATTCCTGTTTGTCTTAAATCCTAATTGTGAAGACTTGAAGGAACTAATAAAAAACACTAATGAGAGTAGTTCCTAATAAGACTTTAATGTTTTGATCTCTGATATTTCAAAGTACATAATTTTCATAGCTTTCTTTTCAAATTTAATTTGACTTGTTAGAAAGCACGTAAATACTTCAAAGCATTGTGCTCTGTAACAAACTTGAAGGAGCCAATCCTTAAACTTCTGTTAAATATTTCACCAGTCTGAACACTATTTAAGTTCTGTGTGTTTTAGTGATCATAAGCTTATTATTTTAATGGAAATTAATTTCTTGCCTGTGACAAAATTGTGGGGGTTTTGTCAGGTAACTAGAATTACTGCAACCACATTGCTTTGAAAGTTGAAAAACCTCTCTTGGAAAAGGAAGCGGTGAAATGAAGTCTCTTAGTTCATTCTCTTTTGCTTGCCAATTGCTGTGGATAAAGTACAGCGTCAGGACTCCTAAGCATGATCAATCTTGCATGGCATATACCAACCTTTAGCAAAGAGATTTAGCTAAAACTTGAATTCAAAACTTTCCAAATCAGTTAGTCACATTTGAAATACAGGTGAAGGTGTTACCAGTAACATAAGCCATATAACATAGCAAGTTTCATTATGCTATGTTACCCAGGATTTGTAGCTGTGGTTGGTAGAGAAGACATCTTCAGAACGAGGGGTGGAAGGTATTTTAAAACCAAATCTGAAGTTTAGAAAGCTGTTTGTAGAAACAGAAGAGGTACTATGAATTACTGTGGTATGCCTGAAGACCTGCAGCCCTTGACTCACCCGTCTGCCTAATTCAAGGCAAGTTTTCTAATCTCAGGTATATGCTACAGCATGAGGGCTCTTCCTCTCTAGTGATACTGGTGTGAGGAGAAAAAACCCAATGGAGGAAAGTAAGGCTAAGTCACTAATTTTCTACTGCATTTTTGATACTTCATTCCACCCATTTCAAATACCTCCATGCTGCGATGGTCTATAGATTGACTAATTGATCACACATTTAAAACATTCTAATTAAGCATTGCCTAACCAGTGATGCAGACATTTTCGCTCTTACTGTATTATCTGTTTTAAAGGAAGAATAATATGGGGTTTTTATTTTAACATGGAATTTAATTTACACATGCTAGTCTATTCTATGTGGTAATTTTCCTTGTTTTTTTTAACACTTCGTAGGAAATAATGGACAGAATTTATAAAAATGTCATGAGTAAAGTTCAGGAGATGAACTATATTCAGAGGACTCTGTTCAAGATAGGCTATGACTACAAATTGGAACAAATCAAGAGGGGATACGATGCACCTCTGTGTAACGTGTAAGTATAATTCACAGTCCAAGTGTACCTTTTTCTTTGTGATTTGTTAAGACAGTCTAAGAGAATAATCATCTAAGCTATCTGATATCAGACAATTCTCATCCAACATGAAAATACCATCTAATGACTAACTGAAAAAATCCAAGTTCTTCCTGGAAACGGGTAAGATATTTGATGGTGGGAATGACTAATCTTCAGAACAGATGACTAGTTAGTTTTCACTGGATTGCTTTTTTTTAAGTAACAAAATTAGAAAGTTTGTTTAGTTAAGTTACAGGAATTCTGCCATCTTCAAGTGTTACACAAGAGGTAACGTTTTTGATTATCCCTGCTGTCTAGTAAAATCTGTGAATGATTAAGTTAATTTTTAAGGTGTTCCAGATAGAAAGGAAAAAGAAGGTTTGTGTCTTTTTATAAAAAGTGAGCAGCGTGAATGTTTTTTAATGCTTTTTTCCTTCTTTCAAGACTATTGTTTAAAAAAGTAAGGGCACTACTGGGAGGGAATGTCCGTATGATGCTTTCTGGAGGAGCACCACTCTCGCCTCAAACACAAAGATTCATGAACATCTGTTTTTGCTGTCCTGTTGGTCAAGGCTACGGACTAACAGAAACCTGTGGAGCTGGAACAATTACAGAAGGTAGTTAAAATGCTTCTGGAAATACATAATTTAAGATACAGAACATATATATGAGGGTTTAGTGGATTTTTTGTAAAGTCAAAATATCTGTAGTTCTTAACTGCAATAAAGTAACTTGAGATAAATTGCTGCCTTATTTATGGTTTGAGTTTATATTTCAAATGACAAAAATCTCTGTATTCTTCCTTGTTCTCTCCCTAAGTTGCTGATTACAGCACTGGCAGAGTTGGAGCTCCTCTTATTTGCTGTGAAATAAAGTTGAGAGACTGGCAAGAAGGTGAGAGTATTAAATGTTTTGATTTCAGAGTAACTAATGTAACCACAGCTTAGCTGGTTTCTTTGCCTATCTGCCTAGCTAGGTGTGGCATATGAAGTAATTGTTCTTTATTTTTATAATAGTCATCAATTTGTGTGCATTAACTTCAGGCTGAAGTTTCAAAATACTTTCTTGGCAGCAGAATATACAAGTTAAAAAAATAATTGTGTGGGGATTTTCTTGTTTTCAGGGGGCTATACTAATAAAGACAAGCCTAACCCTAGAGGAGAAATTCTAATTGGTGGACCTAACGTCTCAATGGGATATTTTAAAAATGAAGAGAAGACAACAGAAGAGTTCTCTGTTGATGAGAACGGTCAGAGATGGTTCTGCACAGGAGATATAGGGGAATTTCATCCGGATGGGTGTCTGCAGATCATAGGTTGGCCTCAATTTTTGATATCTTAATATATTACAAGATCTTGACTAAACATAGTTAGTTATAAGCATGCTGTTAATCCTGTTGGTTTTGCCAGAGCTTAAGGTTACCAGAATCACAGTGTATAAAACATTCCCAAAAGTCCTCACAGCTGTAGGAAAATTTTGGAAGCGATGCTGTTTCCTGTGACATTATCACTCTCTAAATTTAGCACATGGACTTTAAATGTAAGATTAATTTTTGGTATTAATTACAAAGCTTTAAAATCAGAGTCCCCATCACTTTCATACAAGTTGTGTGACAAGAAGCATAGTGCTATATAAACTTTTTTACAGAAGCCTTTATAAAGTTAGCAGAATACATACATGCCATTAGCCGCTTTAAAATTTTAGTAAGATGCTTTAATTCATATTCATTAAGAATTTTGCATAGCATTGCACAAAATACATATATAGTGGCTTTGCAAATGAGCCTGTGGAAATGCAAGAATTTAAAATGGAACAAGCTTTTTTTTTTTTTCTTTTCCTTCACCCTTAACTCCTAGATCGCAAGAAAGACTTGGTAAAGCTACAAGCAGGAGAATATGTATCTCTGGGCAAAGTAGAGGCAGCACTGAAGAACTGTCCCTTGATTGACAATATCTGTGCTTATGCCAAAAGGTAAGAGTGGTATTAATTTAGAAACTCCATTTAGGGTAAACGTGAAATACAGGCTCTGGCCCACTTCTCTGATGATATACTATCGGTTTCCATGGTTTCCATTGAACAAACCCACCTACCAGAGTGCAAGTTATAAGCAGAATCTCTGAAGTAGCACGGGTGCCCAGATTCTCTAAAATCTGAAGAAATGACCTATCTCTTTCTGTTGGCATTTCTCCTATCCTAATACACTCCAGTTCCATCCTATCCCTTCCCCAAACGGGTATCATTATATTTAGCATGTGTTTTGGCTTTCTGTCAGAATACCAGAGAAAAGTTGATCTGGATGCTTTGGGCCTGATCCAAAGCTCTCCACTACGTTTTGGAAATAGTCCCAGTCTCTCCTCTCCTTCCTCCAACTCAAACACACTACCTGAAGGGAGAACGAGCTAAACACCAGATGTAGCTGGGAAGCTAAACCAAGATGCACACTCATGAAATTACAGCAAAGCATGATACCAATCAAACCTAACGTCGTAAAACAACTTAGAATACCTTTGATAAGTCATCAGTTGTGAAGATTTAATGTACAAGAAGAATTCTGTATGGGGGAATAATTACAGTTCAGAAAGCACTATGGATCTGTGTATCTAGCATCAAGTAAGCATTTTACGCCCTGAAATGGAAGTCTCAGCTGTTTGAATCTTTCTTCCTTCTTTCTGTTGCCATCCTGTGGTAGTGACCAGTCTTACGTGATCAGTTTTGTGGTCCCTAATCAGAAGAAGCTGACGGCATTAGCTGAGCAGAAAGGCATCAGTGGAACCTGGGTAGATATTTGTAACAATCCTACAATGGAAGCTGAAATACTGCGAGAGATTAAAGAAGTGGCAAACAAGAGTAAGTAAAGCGGCATATTATGCTAGCCAATCTCAGGGTGCTTATCCAGCAAAAATTTCCCATTATCCTCACTAACTGTTCTTCCTTCTTCCTGTTGCCTCTGTATCTGCCAAAACTTAAAGAGTGTAATCAGAGGCAAAAATCACATGAAAATGTTGCCTATTATCCCAGGAACTGACACACTTTTTGGTCGTATTAACTACTTTTATCTTTTTTCATTTTCTAAAAAAATCTGAAAATTTTTTTTCAACTAAATTCTAGAGACAGGTTCCTTGTCTAACACAGTTAAAATAAGTTCCAAAAGAGCTGTGAATTTGGAAAGAAAGTAACAAGACATTTGCTGGTGAGAAAACTAGTTAAGCAAGAGATTTCAAAGCTTTTTTTCCCATGCAACTTTGTCCCGTACAGCTTTGAACAACCACAATCCTTGTGGTTGTAATGGCTTAAAAGCCTGCTATTCCTTGCTCTGGTACCGAATCATCAAAAGCCTCATCAATCCTTGATGGGGCCAAAAAATTAACAAACTAACTGGGGAAAAAATTCTTTAAAGCACTTGGCACCTTATACAAGGAAGTAGTAAAACTGGACTGAAGCACATGCTAAGCAGCGCCCCTCAAACTTTAGAGAGGAGAATCTGCCTTTTGAAACTGAGAAAACAAGAAATGAAAAACACTTTTAAGTCTTGCCTTTAAAAAAAAAAAAAATCAGTAGGTCTCACACTTGGCTTTAAATGTATTAATCTATGTTTTTCTATCATGAGCTAAGCAAATTACTATCCATATAGCTCTGCTTATTCAAAATCTTTGCTTGTACATTTTTTCTACCTTCTAGATAGTAATCTACCACTGAGATACAACTAATTTATCCAAAACTATTTTGAAGAGAACGTTCTCATTTTTAGCAGAACATAATGCACCTTCATCACAAGCAGGCAGGTATCTAAGTAAGATGAAAGAGTACATTACAACGCTGGTTGGAAGGTAGAGAGAGAAGAGCACCTGGAGACAGACTTAGAGCCAGAGCTCCCCAGCGCCCTCATTTGCTGCCACCTTGAGGCTGTGCTGCCACAAGTTGCCCTGGACATCCCACCACGTCTATGGATGTGGGATCCCATTCCAGGCCTATCTGCAGGAGCTGATAGCAAAGTCCATCAAGTATTACACACGTGCAGCAGCTCCCTGCCTTTCTCCCCAAAGCAGTTACCTTCCTTCCCCTTGCTTATCCCTCTTTGGCCTCTTGCCTGGGCAAGAGATAGAAGCGGCTTTGGTTGCAGTGAGGCTGTGCACGCGCCAAGCAACTGCTTCCAGCTAAAGGGAAAATAAGTGACTAATGTTACAAAAATACAGAGATGTCCCTTTATTTTGAACTCTAAACAAACTCTAAGGAAGGAAAAAATCTGGGAAAGAGTCATTCAGCCATGGGAAGTATAGAAGTATTTCATTATAATTTAAATATGAAGTATATCTGACTAGTCTGAGTTAATCTAGTTATTACTACATTCCTATAATAAAGATACAGCTCTAGATTTCAGTGTATCCTCTTGTGACAGTAGTCTCAGATCTTCAGGCTACACACTCATTTGTTGCAAACTTTAGTTTTTACACCGTCACATCCAATATGAGCTGTAAGTACAGTGTTATTAGAATATTTGCACACTAACCAGCACTCAGCATTGGTACAAGATTAAATTTGCTTGTGGCCCCTCTGTAAGGTTACTTCATGAAGTAGGACACCTTACTATACAAGCTACAGGGTGCTCACCTTAGATTTTTAGGTAGCGTGAATTAGTATTTCATTTGGCAATGTAATCTTAGTCATGGTTTTGTTTCTTCTTGTCCCTGCAGTGAAGTTAGAAAGGTTTGAAATACCCATCAAAGTACGGTTAAGCCCTGAACCATGGACCCCAGAGACTGGGTTAGTAACAGATGCTTTCAAGCTGAAAAGGAAAGAACTGAAAAACCATTACCTCAACGACATCGAAAGAATGTATGGAGGCAAATAAACAAGTTACCTTGACCAGACAATTGTGCAGAGGGTTCCTTCTCATGCCTCAGTTCTGGATGTCTGTGTATACTGTAGATATCACACATTGAGAAAATATACCAAATGGATGAGTGTTCCTATAATCTGTATCAAGTACAACAGAGAATATTTTAAGACTCCAAATTCTTAATTATTAGCAGATTAGACACTGATGGTCTTTGTAGAGTTTCACGTGATCATCTCCAGTTTTGAGACAGACATCATTATGTGAAGCAGTACGACCAGGTAATTTTATTATTATTGCTTCTCTAGCACATTCAGACTGCTTGCAACTTCTCTTTAATTCATTCTTAAGTCTGGCCTATATTTCAAAGAGAAAAAAATTATGTAATTGTGATGGTTCTTCTATCATAGTAAGATACTTAGCAAGGGAGGAAAAAAAGTATTTAAAGTCTACCCTTCTCCATTTAAAAACAAAAACAAGATAACTTTAGTCAAGAACTTGCTAGAGATCACTAATAATGCACTGCTTGAGAATGGATGGATTCTTCTGCACATCAGTTAGTATCTTGAATATTTACAGTGCCTAAAAAAGAATATAAAGTACACTTACTGAAATAAAGGTGAACTGAAAAGCCTTCTAACCCAAGTTATTTGAAATTTTATTCAAGAGCATTGAATATTTCAACTTCCAACTCACCAAGTACATTTTTACTTGCCACTGTATTTTAATTCAAGCAGAGCTTTCCAGTAGGACACAGCATAAAAGAAAACAAAGACTTGCACTGCTACAGGAGGTACTGATGGGAAATCATCACCTGAATGCAGAATGCAAAACTTGCATCTTGACTGGCAAACAACAGTGAAATTGATGGGCAGCTGTCTCTAAGCAGATTTGAAACTCGAAAGAGTTGTTGAGGGGTTTTGTTTTTAAGGCACTGATGCTCTAGACCTTCACATATATTGAGTAATGGTACAGGTTACCTGTCTGTAATGTAGAGGATCAGGGTCTAAATTTAGTCTGTATTCACTTTATGGAAAGGTATTTCCGTTCACCTTTTAAATATGGTAAGCATAACAAGGCAACCAGAAACCAACAGCAGTTTCCCATGTTGTCTTGTTTTACTTACAGAAAAGTAGTCTGTGACCAGGGAACCTTTGTTTTACAGAACTTGTAAGAAGGGACAAATCACTCTTTACAGAAATTCATTATAAAAGTGTTCTCTTATTAACTGGAAGTCATAGATGTGAAGAAGTGGGAAGCTATAATTTAATAATAGTTCATCATTTTGTGTGCAGAATCCTGTACTGTGTCTTTTGAATTGTAACTGAGCTCCTGCATCCCTGCTAGCTCTTCACACTTGAACCGTAAATGCTGTAAAAAGTGGAGGCTCTTGATACTGTTCTACTTTGCACTTTCTTAATGGTTTTATATATGTTGCTTACATTTTGTACAGCTGTGGCCCTCAACTGCTATATATTACAAATTCATTTTAAAGTATTTATAGATTTCTATTCATAATATTTGTGTTGTGTATATGATGGTTAAAATGAAAAATTATTTGGTATTGTCACTGTACAGAAAGTAAAAGATTTTGTACGATGCTTCTTTTGAACACACTAACTTGCAATTTCAGGGCAAGTTTTTCCTTTATTGCATGTATGTGTATTTTTCTTTTTTCCAGTTCAAGCAGATTTTGGCAAAAATAAATCATGGCTATATACTCATTAACTATACTGTCCCTTTTCCTTGGGACCAATTTCAAACTTCCCCCTGCATAACTTTCTGTGGCCAGTCCACAACACTGCCAGCTCATCTTCCAAGAACCCCAAGAGGGAAGGGAGAAAGAAAATCTGGTATATAAAGCTGACTGTATCGAGTTGTGCATGGAAGTACAACAGTCACTAAAAGGAACAAGGAAATAGCTTTTCTAAAAAAGAATTTTTTTTTTTTTAAGACAACATACACTTGGCTTATGACAACAAGAAGTACTTCCCCTATCAGTGCAGCTTTTTAAATGACTCTGTCCTGGAGCCACATTACCAATTTTTCCATGTTTAAAAGGGGTCACTATTAAATAGCCTTTAGTCAGCCTGTTAACATCACAAAAGTTAAATACATGTAAGAAAGTTACTTGCACTTGAGTCTGTCAGCAGGTTGTATGATTTTTTTTTTAAACCATGAATGTATTTATATGAAATGTATTTTATCTAGACTGCAGGTATCTTCTGTGTCTTGGTTGACTGAGGATTGCTATTTGCAATGTATATATATATACACACACACATATACACAACGTTAACATTTCAAAAGTGGAATACAGTTTAAATGGTTCAACAAGTTTGTGTTCTGAAAAATCTTTATATATTGCACAAGTTGTCTGTAGTTACTGTTCAGCGCCTCACATTCTCTCTGAAACTGAGCACACCTTAGAAGAACTTCTCAAAAGAAGCAGCAATGAGTACATGCTATGGATGTTGAAAACAAAGCCTAGAGTGGGCCTAGTTTTTCTTTCAAGAAATGAACTAAATGTGGATGTGCTACCAAAGACAATTTGAAACACATCAGCTTTTCAAGCATTTTTTGGAGAAGGGGAAGGATTACATCAGGCTGCCTTCAAATACACAGATTAATTGCAAATATCATACTTGCAGTTCGGTAAGAACATTATTAAAAGTAAGGAACTAGGACGCAGATGAAGTGATAGTATATGGCTTCAAAACCCTTATGTGATAGTTGCAGATGATATCCTGTGCTTGACTGAAAGGACATACAATATGGGACTGAAGTGTGAGGGAGCAGGTCACTTCCTAAATGTGAAAGTTCTAAAAAGCTCAAAGTAGCTGCAAGTTCTTCAGAAAGCAGGTTCAGAATTTAAAAATTATCCTCCTAAGTCTGAGAAACAAAATCCAGTTTGGACACATCTGATACAAGATTATAGTTAGGCCCTCTACTTCAAAAAACATGGGATGTCTAGAGAAAGCCAGAGTAGAACTACAGTAACAGTGGGATGAGAAAACTTGAGCTGTGAAGGAAGAGTATAGTGAAGTTTAGCTGCCCTGAAGGGGAATGGCACAGGACAAGAGATGATTAACCTTCAACTACATACAGCGTTACCCTAACAAAGGCACAAAAGAGCTGTCACCAGTGGAAGAGGAGGAACAGAGAATAAGTTTACACTAAGTGACATTCTAAAAGAGACACAGAACTTTAAAACAAAAGTAAATCCTTACTAAATACTGAACTACTTGCTCAAGATCTTTGCCACTGAAAGTCTTAGAGCCTCAGAGTCAATGAAGGTTAAACAAACACCTTTCAGGAACAGCCTTGACACAGAACCTTGGGTGGGGGCTGGAAGAGGAGACACGGTTCCTGCACATAATGCAGCAGTAATGCTGCACATCACAGTAAGATGTCATTAAATGGCTTGCAAGGAAAAAAAAAAAAGGTATGAACAGCAAAAGTAATAAGTTACTGCCTTAAGAGTAGGCGAGGTGGTATTTAACCAACCCAATGCAATTTTAGTGCCCATTACAACATCAGGGAACTTTGAGTGTAACACGATATAGAGAGCTGCCTGCCAGGTAAGCCAGTATGTTAGGCTGCGGTTCCCATCAAATGCTTTCTGGCTGTATAAGGAACAGGACACAAGTTGAGAACATAGGTCACTAATTTTCAGTCAACCCCTCCCCCTCCAAATCTACCACATCCCAGAATGATGGTTTCAAATAACTACGTTGTATTCTAATGATAAATCAGCAATGTTCTGCAATTACATGCAATGCAAGAAATAAATTCTCATTATGTATTTGGGTTTTTTTGTTTTGTTTTAACTGAGCCTGCCTAACAGCTAAGCTCTACTTACATGAGAGTAAATCAGTTTCCCTTTTGGAGGCTAAAATTTAAACATTAGAAGCTTAAAAATAACAAGTCTCATACTTCTTTCACATAAGATGCCACAGAAGTGATTTACAAAATACCATCAGTAAAACTTGCAGTCTGCTTACATGGAGTTCTGGATGATGCACATAGAGTAAAACTCAGGTATTCTACAGTAGCATGACCTTGCCTGGATTAACAAACAAAACACAACTCCAGTTAACTCGCTGCTGCTGCAAAGTAGGTTATTGATGGCTTTTTTTTTTTTAAACACAATAGGATTACATCAGCCATGGAGGAATAGGGCTGACTATACTAAATACACATTTGTTGTTGGCCTGTCATTTTCACATACTTTAATTTGAATGAGGTCTGACAGAAATGGGGTGGTGTTTGCACTATTGCTTTGCTACTGGGAGCTGTAATATCTAGAATCTTGCTACACCTTTATTGAGGAGAGACAGGTTTTGAAGAAAATTGGATCCATTCTATATTGATAAAGTGTTTTAACAAAGCTGATTATCACAGGTAATCTGTCCAAAACTGTCTTCAGTTGGAAGCGTGTAGTCTTGACATTAGACCAATGCTAATTAAATTAGACAAACGGAGCTCTGGGTGCAGTGTCTGATCTCAGAGTCCTCACCTATGCTTTTAAAAAACCCAACCAACCAACCAAAACCTGGTGCATTTTTCTGTTCTCCTGTTTTGAAACACCAATAACCTGGTTAACAATGAATATTAACAGATGCCAGCAGTCACCATGTGTTTGTTACACATGCTTATTTCTGCATTTACCCTCACCTGTCTTCGATTACAGAAGTGTGACCACCACATCTACGCCATCCCCATTATTTCTGAAAATCCAGACCCTGAGCATGAATACCTGTCACTCCAAGACATGATCTCATATCATTAAAATGCTAAAGCAAAGAGATGTATTTTTAAAAAGTAAAACTTAAATCACAGATAAGGAAGTGGTGGGGGAAGTAATTTAGCACTTTGGATTTGAAACAGGCCTATAGTATCACTGAGCCTATTTAAGAATAAAATGAGCCCAAATATGACTTTGGGTAGTGAGTCTGCATATTGATTCAGCACTTAACGAAAGTCCCAGCCCTGGGAGGTGTTGCTGGGGTTTTTATTTGTTTTAAACAACACAGTATCTGACCTAAACCTTTCCTGTTGGATACAGATCAGCTTGTTACTTACAGTGCTCCCCCAGGGAGCGAACATGAAGAATGGATCACTGTGCTCTACAGCTGCCTGCCCTACTTCACTTTCTGTCTTCCAAGTCTAGGCAAACACAATCTCTCCCGATGAGCCTGTTTTTATGAAATTTTATCAGAGCCATTTAACCAGGGCCACTCTGTCCCTATGTTCAAAATACAATACCCCCTCCCCTGCCCTACACAGCTGAGGGCAATTACCTCCCAAAGCCTCTAACTTCACTACCTTCCAGAACATATTTGCCTTTTATTTAATAGTGTAACTCTCACCTTTTGACTTTTTTCCCCCTTGTTATTTTTAAAACCTTGATCTCTGCTCTGAACACTTGCCATAGCACAATAATGATACTGCTGTGAGGAGTGGAAATGCACGGGTGGTGACAGGGACTTCTTAAGGAGCTCTGCAAACAAATGCTACACCACAACCCAAGCTGTATTTCTAAGAAGTCAGTCTGATTCAGTTTTAACCTACATACAGCCCATCCTAATCATTTACTGGCAAGCAGAGTCCTTACTTTCAGAGGAAAGATACCAAGAAAATAGTTCACACCAACAAAAAACATACTATAGAAAAGCAAATCAAAACCTGGCGCTATGTGAGGAAAAATTATCAGACTGGTTTTTGGTTCTCTTGAGATTCTAAATGGATACTCAGCCCTTCTAACTAGTAAAAACTATGATCTATTGTATTTGCTATTTTATTTCCGTTGTCTAGCCACCAATACACTTTCAGTAGGTCACCCATAGATAATGAAAAAGCAAGATGCCTGCAACATTATCCAAGCCAAAAACTTTGCTTAAGAGACATGATTTTGTAAAA